AAGAGTAATATAGTTAAGTTTCAGTAGAGCCATCAGTGGAAAAATCAACTGATGGGATACGACGACTACCCAATAAGTTTAAGTTTCAGTAGAGCCATCAGTGGAAAAATCAACTGATGGGATACGACTACCCAATAATTCTGATCCACTATTCTTGAGAGAAAGGCCATCAGACTTGATGACCAACCGTGGATACTCTCCAAAACCCCACCCAGGAAAGCTACCAGATGTTAACCCAATGCCCGGGTCCCACGGGATTTGACCGTTCAGTATCCGGTCCATGAAGGGGCCTTTCTGAACATGTACAGGAAGTTGCACAGTGCTCAGGAGAAGATGCTCCATATTGGAGTTTTGCAAGTCATCAGGCCTACATTGCAACGCCCAGGACATCCCATACCCAGGAAACCTTTTTGCTGCTCGATGCGTACCGTACTGTCAAATCCTCCGAAGAAAGTGAGAGTGAGGAGGAGAGTGATAGTGAAAGTGAGAGTGAGGGAAGTTTTGATGAGGATGATAGTGAGGTTTTGCGAGGTCGGCAAACCTTTCTGGAACACGTCAGAGCTGATCAGCGTCGAGAAAATTTCCCTAGACCTGATCAAAGATGGGAAGACTATAGACATGATCAGCGATGGCAAGATTACTATAGACTTTGTCAACGATGGGAGGATTATCGTAGACACAGCCCACGACAGGGAGATTATAGACCCGAGATGTGTACCCTCAAGCCGAGGGACATCCCCAAGAATCTCATATTCAAAGGCAAAGGAAGCTGGTCTTTCTTTAAGAAAAGCTTTATGGCATTTACTGAAGAGTATGAGCTCTCACCAAAAGCTAGAATCGAAACACTCTGTTGGTGTGTGGAGGGACCTGCGGCTGATTTCTATGTGAATCTCCTAGAAATGGACCGTAGGATCACCTTTAAGAAGATCTTGAAGGCCTTTGACAAACACTTCGGGGAGGAAGACTTGCCCGCCGTCCTGCAAGCTAGACTGGAGACCGCCACTCAACGTGAGGACGAATCCGTCAACGAGTGGGGTGATCGAGTCATGACCATGACCCGAAAGCCATACAAAGATCTACCAAACGCCTGGATCCGACAGGAAGCTGCTACTAGGTTTTGTCTTGGGTGTCGAGATACAGAGGCTTGGAGATATGTCCTTCACGAGCAAGTTTCTACTCTGGCAGAGGCTTTGACTGAGTATGAACAGTATTACAGCTTGCGAAAGTTGTATGGTAAGAGTGGGAGCAGATCTCGAAATAGTGGAAAATCCCTGATCAAGTCTGCTACCCGTGTCACTCAACACTCATCACCTCCTTACTCCAAGAATGAAGATGCAGGGAGCAGAAACTACAGGGCTGCAAAATGCCAACAAGTAAGTGAACGTTACAACCGGGGTGGTAGGTCCAACTATCCCAGATCCTCCGTTCCTGCAAGGCAAGCTGCAGTCATACCCGCAAGTAAACTGGTTACGACAGGCCAGAAACCATCCCCATACCGGTTACGACAGGCCAGAAACCATCCCCATCTCCATCATGCAACACTGAAAGAAGGTTAACCGGCCTCGAAGATCAGGTGGATGCAGTTAACAGAAAGCTGGATGCAGTGTTGGATATGTTGAAACCACGTGGGGATCGATGTCTTGAATGCCAAGAGGCAGGACACTGTCGTAATAACTGTCCCAAACTCGTTTCTTCTAAACAACCTAGGCGGGTTGGCCCCCAGGAAGAGGATCCTTTAAACTAGTAGGGGTCGGAAGCCATGGCCAGCTAGCCGACCATCCTCACCTTGGCGGCCAACAAGAGCATCAAGACAAAGTGATTGAACACGACACAGTTTCTCCCGTTCCAGGTGGGTCTAACAATAAATCTGTTAGTCCACGAAACATGCATCCTGTTCCAGGCGGGCCTAGCAATGCTGCCAGTCCACAGAATACATGTCAAGAAACTGTGACGACGTCAAACAATTCTGATTCACTTACTGCCTCTCATTCTATTAAACCGGGGGACAGTAATGAGTCAACGACAACAATGACAACAACGACAACAGAAGAAATAACTATCAGCAGAGTAAAGTCCGAAAACGCGCTGCATGCAACTGCTCTAGTCAACAATGTAAACATTAATGTAGTTGTAGATACCGCAGCCGATTACACCATCCTCTCTGATAGGGTATACTCTAGCCTTGAACCAGCACCACCTATTGTAGCCAAATTATCCTTTACCCTAGCTGGGAGGGGAACATCCATGCCAGGCTATAAGGTGGGCCCCGTTAACTTTCGTTTAGGTTCAAACGAGTATAGTACATTTTTCTACGTAGCCCCTATAAATGATGAAATCCTCTTGGGTGGGGATTTCCTCCATCCTAATAAAGCAATTATTGATTTCGGGAGGCTACTACTAACCATTGGTGATAGCACCATATCGCTTAGGAGCGACTCTAAACCTGCTCTAAGGGTTGCCCGAGTATGTGTAGCTAAACGTAAGGTGATACCTCCCCACTGTGTTACACATGTTAAGTGTCATCTAGTTGATAATGGTTTACCCATGCCTGATTTCGTCATAGAACCAGGAGATATACAAAGGGTAGCGATTCCCGTTACACTGCACCGCTGCATTGATATACCATGCATCTGTGTAATTAATATGTCCACTAATTATGTCACCATGAAGAAGGGTAGACAAATAGGCAAGGCCGTAGAGTCTGAACATCTAGATGAGATTATTACCGATGCCCCTCTCATTAAACAGCGTCATCGGCCCACGCCGTTACGTTTTGACAGCAAAGAGGAGCAAGAAATTAATAAGATGCTGGAAGACGGAGTTATCCAATTCTGCACTGACCACCATGCATTACACGTCAATGACATGATGAAATGCAGAAACCTGTGCAAGTCGGTACGCATCGAGCAGCAAAAAGGTTTCCTGGGTATGGGAATGTCCTGGGCGTTGCAATGTAGGCCTGATGACTTGCAAAACTCCAATATGGAGCATCTTCTCCTGAGCACTGTGCAACTTCCTGTACATGTTCAGAAAGGCCCCTTCATGGACCGGATACTGAACGGTCAAATCCCGTGGGACCCGGGCATTGGATTAACATCTGGTAGCTTTCCTGGGTGGGGTTTTGGAAAGTATCCACGGTTGGTCATCAAGTCTGATGGCCTTTCTCTCAAGAATAGTGGATCAGAATTATTGGGTAGTCGTCGTATCCCATCAGTTGATTTTTCCACTGATGGCTCTACTGAAACTTAAACTTATTGGGTAGTCGTCGTATCCCATCAGTTGATTTTTCCACTGATGGCTCTACTGAAACTTAACTATATTACTCTTTGCCGACTGAAGTTGAGGGACTTCCAGTTCTTCTTGTCTTCCCATAGAGAAACCTATGGAAGCTATAGCATTCGATCAGCCAATACCTCCTGGTGAGCTATTTATTACCCACGGGGTAGCGTCTCCTTTTTCAAACGAAGGAGGAGTGTAGTGACGACCCCCGTACGTTCGTATCCCCGATCTACGCAGGAGGACATGACCTCAAGGTCAGCTCATCTGCATAACCCACAGCCGGGTGTGCTGCATAGCCGACCAGGGGTACCTGGTGAGATATAGTCACTCGTACACTGGACCTTATGCTGAGAGCATCGTTTACCTTACTACAGGATTCGTTTAGGTGTATCTGGTGTCCGGGTCTGTTATACAAGGTATATACCGAACTATATGTGTGTACTATATTATGATTGATATATATTATTGGAGTATTTTCGCCTTAAGAAGATACCCCATTGGATAAAGGTAAGCACCACTCGGTACCTTTAATTATCACAGTATATAGGCGATAAATACTACACAACGTTATCCTCTTCGTTTTCATTTACATCCTCTTCGAACGACGACGAAGACCAGTCTAAATTTAAACTTAATTCACTATCTGAATTTCCCTCCGCCATCGTGTTGATTGCATTCGTTGTATGAGAGCTTGCTAGAAGTTTGTGAATGGCAACGTCTTGGGGGCGTGATGAATTAACATGACCTTGGCGATTTTTAAGATTTGGCAAAATCGAAAAATTGAGCATTTTTTTAAGTTGTTTTTAATTAGCAAGATAGTTCATTTAAGGTCTTCAAGCGCGATTTATTAATCATTAGTATGTACTTCATCATTTTCTTATGATATAAATCATTATAGTTCAGCTTGTCAGACGGTCTTTAAGTATTCTTTTAAAGGAAGAAATTGACAATCCCGCACTGCATTTAATTGTGAAAGGAAGGGAGTTCCAATAGTTAGCTCCACAACACCCAATAAAATTTATACCATAGTTCCGAGTAACTTTATAGGGGTAGATGCTTTATAAACCCTTTCCGGCCCTAGAGGTGATGGAGGTTCTTTTACATGAGATCGATGACCGGAGAAGGAGCCAATGAATAGAGGCAAAAAATAAAAAGAATAATATGGAATTGCCACCGTGTGGAGAGATCCATCCAGTTAAGTTCTCGTAGCGGTTCTCGAATTAAAGTTCTGGGACTTAAGCGTTTGATAAACCTGATACCTCTATTAAAGATAATATATAAAGGATGAAGAATGAAATTATAAGTCTGAGATCAAGCAACACTACAGTATTCTAAATAAGGACGATCAAGACTGTTAAACAGGGTGATTTTAACATCAAGTGGGAGGAAACCTAAATGACACAGACATCTAAGAGCTGCTCTAGATTTAATATTAAACATACTTAACATGTTCTTGGAATGTTAGTTTTTCATCTAATACGACCCAAAGGAGTTTAGACGAAGACTTAACTTCAAGAACTGAATTATTAATGATAATTGATGAATCTCCCTACGGAATTTATCATTACAAAAAAACATGGAATATGTTTTTTTCGTATTAATTTTCAAGTGGTTATCAGAAGCCCAAGTATCAATTATATTGAGGTCAGTCGAGAGGTTATGTGTTACAACTTCGCAATTTGGTCCGGTAGAGTATAAAGTAGTGTTGATCTGCATATTGTAGTAAGGAACAAGAACTGATTATTGAAGGCTTGTTATACAAATAAATAGAAAAGAGAAGCGGACGCAAGAGAGATCCCTGGGGGACTCGTAATACAGGAGTCCACTGAGAAAGAGAATCACATCATTTCACTCTTTGAACTCTATCAGACAAGAAATTGGTGAACCATGATAAGCATTTACCGTGAAAGCCAATCGAATGTAATTTTTGAAGAAGAATTGAGTGACTAATTGAGTCAAAATCCCGAATGTAATCAGTCATGACAGCACCTAGAACATGATTTTTGTCGTATGCCAACCAGGCTTCGTTGACCAACTTAACTAGTAAATCCTGGACCGAATGGGCAGGTCGAAAGCCAAACTGACAGGACGGAAGTATTGAATGTTTGTCAAGAAAGTTAAAGGTTTGCTCATTGATAATTCTCTCGTGAACTTTAGCAATTATGGGCATGATTAAAATTGGTCTATAGTTGCTTATATCAGTATGCGAACCCCCTATGTGAATGGGTCGAATAACTACTGTCTTCCATTCCAAGGGTAAGACACCCTGGGTGATGCACAGATTGAAGATAAATGAACGTGAAGAGGCAATGGCAGGAGCAGCCAACTTAAGAGATAAAGCAGAAATACCATCAGGTCCAGATGACTTTCTGGTATCCAACGAGGTAAGAATTGTTAAAACCTGGTCCGGAGTTGTTGAAAGAAATTCGGATAGACGATTGGGACTAGAAGGAAGTTTCGATAAAACGGAGACATCAATTAGGTTTAACAGGAAAAAAAGAAGAAGCAGAAGCAAAAAAAATGGTTAAAGGCATTAGCAATGGATCCGGAGTCTGAAAAGCATGATCCGTCGACGTTTATGGATTTAATTGATGTTTTCTTGCTTTGACGCCCGGTAATCTTATTGAGATGTTGCCAGAGCTTGGAACGATTACCCTTTGATTTATAACATATACTGTTTAGGAATTCTGTTTTGTTATTACGAATTGATGAGGTGACTCTTTTCCTAATTTCTTTATATTTCAGCCAATCGCGTTCATTTTTAGTCATTTTTGCTTTCTTAAAAAGTCGCTTGCGGTATCTCATAAAGCCTCTAATTTCAGAATTGATCCATGGGAGTGTGTTCTTTCTAGGTCTAAACTTCTTAATTATATAATGTTTATCGAGAGCACGTGTGAACAAAGCTTTCCATTCAGACCATATTTCATAAATATCGACAAGATCGGTCATATTTGTCCAGTCGACATTATTAAGGTCTTGGATAAGAGAATCAATATTACATCCTTGGAGAGTGAGGAAAGAGGTGGTTTGGGGTTCTATTAAAGGAGGTATAACAGTGGGTATCAATCCATATAGAAGTGAGTGGTCGCTAATGCCAATGTCAAGTACATGAACATCGTCTAAAAGGGCCGGCCTACTGGAAGCCATAACGTCAATTAGGGATGCACTACCTCCCTCACATCTCGTGTGCTCTTTAACATGTTGAGTTAATTCAAATTCATTGAAAAGGCCAATTAATCTTTTTCTTCTCTGTATCTTCTGGTACCTTTAAGATCACCGGTTAAGATAAGCTTAGAAAAGGAAGTTAGTTGCATAAGGTGTTGAAGTGTTTCGGTCCTTATTTAAAAAAAAAAAGCAGGTTGGGAGCCTCCAGGTGGCCTATATGCACCAACGACATGAAGATGTCGATGTCGCTGAAGTCTGACATCAAGTACTCAAGGTCAGGGCAAATGTGCTTAATCACCT